CTACCTTCATTCCTACAACTAGCATCTTCTCCATGTTGATACCAAATATAATAATATGGCATGAAACCTCTATTTATTAAATGCTTCCAAATATTTTCACGAGGGCCTAATTTGCTATTGCAGCATTTCCGACAAGGACATAACATCTTACCACTTTCCTGCGTGAGTGGTGTAGAATCTGCTTGATGCATGAACGTCTCCAACCCTTCCAGAAATTCGTTCATCACCCTCCCGTTATTATCTCTGTGTGAATACATCCACTGCCGCAACTCGAAAATATTTTCCGGACCGGACATTTTTTTGTGTTTGATCAAGCTTATAGCTGATTTTTTTTGGTGTGTTTCAAATGAATCACATAAGGTGGTATTTATAGAAATTTTCTAATCTGAGCATTTACTAGGAAATTGCTAGGAAAAGTAGGTACAAAACAGGTGTTTTATTTAAATTTGATATTTCCTATCCATTTCCTCCTAATTTCGTAGTAAAAAACTATTTCCTCCTAATTTCGTAGTAATATTTTACTATGCCTTTACGAGGAAAGTCTTTACTACGGCTTTACGAGGAAAAGTACTTTTTCCTCGTAAGATCCTCTTAAATTTACTAAGGTCTTACGAGGAAAATATTTTCTCGTAAGTTTTCGAGGATCTTACGAGGAAATTTGCTTTCCTCGTAAGATCCTAGTAAATGCTTAGTAACTTTACGAGGAAGTTTTTTTCTAGTAAAATTTCCTAGTAAATGCTTAGTTTTCTTGTAGTGGATTTTTTAAAACGACGTGGTGTGCTTCTCTTTGCACCATATAATCTCATAACTTTACGGTTGAATTAATGTCTTACTAGGTGTTTTGCCTGCATTTGCGGCCATTAATTCTCTTATAAATATTTATTAGTTGATGTTTCATTAATTTAAAAACCATCATAATAAATTATTATTTATGTTTCCAAAAAGTACAAATCAAATATTAAATAATTATTAATGACAAAACTCAAACATCAGAAATATTTAAAACAATATATTTCTATAATTATTTTGCTTGATTTATATTTAATTATAATATTTATACAAATGTTTTTACTTAAATTATATTTAATTATAATTTTTTATATCTTAATTTTAAATTTTATAATAGAAAAATATATTTTCAAGATAACAATATAATGCATAAGTTATTTCTTGTCTAAAAATATAATATGATACAAAAATATAAAATTATTGAAATTAGGACATATAATTAAAATTACCTAAAATCATGGAGAACTAAATTAATCAGCAAATTCACTTCTTAAATTATTTTTCTTGAGTGATGATTTATATTTAATTAATAATAGATAATATTCTGTTTTACTTTTAAATTATATAATATAAAAATATATTTTCAAGATAACAACATAATACAAAAGAATTACCTTATTTTCTAAAAGTATAATATTAATAGTGTAAATTTATTTCAATTATATAATAACTACAACTTTTTATATCTTAATTTTAAATTTCTAATGGAAAAATATATTTTCAAGATAACAACTAAATACATAAGAAGTATCTTATTTTCTAAGAATCTGATGCTATTAATATAAAATTGTTTTAAATATATAATAAATTATATATAAATTATAGAAAATACGATTAACTATCAAAATTATCTAAAATTATGGAAAATATGACAAATCAGCAAACATTAAATTCAATTCTTAAATAATTGTATAGATTTTTTACATGTTAATTTTAAATTTTATAATAGAAAAATATATTTTCAAGATAACAACATAATACATAAGAATTAACTTATTATCTAAAATATCATATTGTTAATATAAATTAGTTTTAATTATATAATCTATAATTATTAAAATTAGAGAAATTCTAATAAATGATCAAAATTACCTAGGAAGATGAAGACAAATCAACAAATTCACTTTTCAAATAATTGTTTTGATGATTTATTTTTAATTATTAATATTATAATTTTTATATCTTAATATCAAGTTTTATAATAGGAAAATATATTTTCAACATAACAACATAATACATAAGAATTATCTTATTTTTAGAAAAATATAAATTCGTACATAATTCACAAGAATTATCTTATTTTCTAAAAATAGGATATATTCATAGAAATTGGTTTTCTATAAATAAATTATATATAAATATTAAAAATATAATAAATAAACAAAATTACCTAAACTTATGGAGAACATGACGACTACGCAAATTTTCTTATCAAATAATAGTATAAATATAAATAAATATATAAATATTAAAAATATGATAAAAATTAAAATTTAAGTTTTATATATAAAAATATATTTCAAGATAACAACATAATTCACAAGCATTATCTTATTTTCTAAAAATATGATATATTCATATTAATTCGTTTTTTTATAAATAAACTATATATAAATATTAAAAATATGATAAAAATTAAAATTTAAGTTTTATATATAAAAATATATTTCAAGATAACAACATAATTCACATGAATTATCTTATTTTCTAAAAATATGATATATTCATATAAATTCGTTTTTTATAAATAAACTATATATAAATATTAAAAATATGATAAAATTAAAATTAAGTTATATATATATATATTTCAAGATAGCAACATAATTCACAAGAATTATCTTATTTTCTAAAAATATGATATATTCATATAAATTCGTTTTTTATAAATAAATTCTATATAAATATTAAAAATATGATAAATAAACAAAATTACCTAAACTTATGGAGAACATGACAACTAAGCAAATTTACTTCTTAAATAATAGTATAGATATTTAGCATAAATAGTTTTGCAGATAAAGTTATATTATATTAGACAACAGAAAATATTTATATCAAAAATATTTTGTTAATCTTCTTATAAACAACTATGTGTTTATGCAAATTAGTTTAATTTTGCCACCTAATAGTATTTTAATCTAACATCTACATTTTTCAATATTACATAGTTAACTTACTGCTTGACTTTAGTTAGTTTAAAATTAATTTCTTATATTATTTTGTAAAAATAATATGTGACCAATTTAGTTAATTTAAATCACCTACTGAATATGGATGGTTTTAATTTATGTTTAGTAAAACGTACCAGCAACACTCAGAAAATATATTTAACTAAAATGTCGAAAAAATAAAAGTACTTTGAAGTAATTTTGTGTTGGTAATTTCATGATTTCATCAACTTTAATCTTCATATATTCCATAGATTTTAAAATTGGTGATATTATAATATTTATTGTTAATAAAATATAAATTTTAAATGTGATTTCCTAGAGATTACAGATTTGTGGTAATCACATAATCCAGATACAAGTAACTAACAAAGAAAATGTAACTTGGTACGGGTCTTGAGTTTTATGTTTTTAGGATTTGAGATTCAAACCTCATTCGAATATTTATAATTTTGCTGAGTTCAGGTTTTCATATCCAATCAAATCATTTATAAATTCAAAAATAAAAAAATATTTTAAAATCCTCCAAAAAACATTCAGCATATATTCTGTAATATGTATGATCAAATACTTAAAACTAAAACCGGATTATATACTTGGTGTTGGGTCTACAGGTTCAACCATAGATCGGATATGAAAACACTACTTGAAATTCAAACATTTATAAAATAACTTTTAAAGTATTTGTTTTCTAATAATATGTAAAATTGTATCCAAAAAGATATTTGCACTTTGAAAAATGGGTCAAAAAATATTAGTAACTTCTAAATTGAATAAGAATACAAAATAGTGTAGATTGATGGTTAGAACTATGATACAAATATATGATATGAGAAAATTATTTCCAATTTATATCGTTACACATTTCAATAATGAGAACGTATTATTCTTCTATATAGAATTCTATACTATTAGTTCATACATATCATCTTTTAATATTTTTCAAACAAATCCCATCCTTTTCCAATAAAATTATAAGAACATAAAAACTCAATTGATAGGATTCGAAACAAAAAAAAAATAGTGGTAATTGTAAATCAATCTTAGACATACAAGAAAGAATAAATCCGCGTTAAAGAAAAAATAAATTTGCGCTTTCTACGCAGTTCAAAAGCTACTACAGTTTATAATTGTGACAAATGTCGGAAAGAGGCACATGTAGCGAACAGTTCATATATCGTACTAGGCTTAATCATTTTATCTAGAGCCGAGGATCTGAACCACAACCGACCCAGAAAACCAATTTGATTTGAGCCCAGATCTGCGATCGGATATTGTGAGAACCGAAAAAGTTACAATTGAGTTTTGAGAGAAATATTGCTTTAGAAAGATCGATGAACAAAATATCTTGAGAAACAATATGGTCAGTGATAGAGATACACCAAAGTTAGTAAGGCTACCCTCGCTAAAGGGGAATATGCTGGTGGCATTTGCGGATGAAAAATTGAAAATGGTGACAGAGAAAGATATAGAATTAGTCGTCAACGATAATTATATTTTAATTTTATATATAATATATAATGATAGGGTATAACTTTTTCATCTTTTTAAACTTTGTTTGTCTAATGATAGGGTATAACTTTTTTCATCTTTTACTACAACTTTGTTTGTCTCCTAATCATTAATTGAACAAGACAAGATCAGAACAAGAGCATAACGTCAAATATTGCAAACTATATTCCACAGGAGAAGCTATCCAAACAAATGTAAAACATGGAGAGATACAACTACTAATTCATGATTTACTAAGGAGGCAAGATTGACCCTCAATGCACGGAGAGCTAGCTAGAGACGCCCAATATCAGAACTATGAATGACCCTAATCATATGACATTAATTATCAATACTCAGCACCTAACCTGTCTCTTCTCTCATAAAATACCATTTTCTCTCCAGAGATATTTTACTTATGCAAGAGCCACTTTATAATAAGCTCGAGGCTTCTAGAGCACAGGAGCAAAGGGTTTACACGAAAATCCAAAAAAAAAAAAACAAGATGAATACGGTTCAAGTGGAACTAAACAGAGAGGATTAAGCTAATCAAGTTCCATTATGCTGCACTTGATTCTCCGGAACTTGTTCAGCTGTTAGTGGAGGGTTCTCCATTCTCAGCCTGATCGCCCTTCTCTCCTTACTATCATTTTCAAAAAACTCATTCTGCTCCTTCACTGCTAGATCCCACTCTTCCTTTGCATTTTTAAGCTGATCCTCTAAAGGCTTGTACCTCTTCGCATAAGAAGCTCTCAACTTGGCGACATAGCGATCACCAATCTTCTCCAAAAGCTCAGGGTTGCCCTTCACAAAGTCAGGGTGTTCAGACTCCAACTGTTGTCCAGAATCCAGATACAGTCTTGCTAAAGCCCTACACTCACAACAAGAACAAAAACCAACATTATGGGCGGCTAGTCTGTAACATGAACTTGCCAAAAGAATGTAACAAACGAACTTACATATCCTAGGAATCTTGCAAAACTTGTGACTCCCAAGTGTTGTGTAAGAAGGTCTCTTTGACATTTTAGCGGTTTCCAGACTATGAACGTGGTGCCATTTGGTCCCCAGGAGATTATATTGTCAGTGGAAGGATCATCAACAATGTCATATGCTTTGCTGAGAAAAGCATAGATTTTGTTTGTTCTGGGAGAAAGATCCATTTCTACAAGATACAAGTCATCATGGAGCAAAACAAAGCAAGTCAAGAAACAATGATTCTCTAAAGCACTCATGATCATCAAGAGCAAAACAAACACATGGTAATAAAGCTAAAGATTATCCACAAGATCATATTATAAGAATCAGTTTATACGTCAAACGGAGTAAGAATGACCATCACAATGCCACGAACTCGAAGTTGGAATGGTCATTGGTTACCTTTGCAAGGAGAATCGGTTTCGTGAACAAAATCGGAACTTGGGTTTGGAGAGATCTTTACTTGATTCTCAGGAGCTGGTGGAGAAGAGCTCTTGGGCCTCAACCTGCTTGCCCTTCTCTCCTTACTCTCATTTTCAAAAAACTCCTTCATCTCCTTGGCTGCTAGATCCCACTCTTCCTTGGTCTTAGCGTTTTTAAGACGAACCTGAAATGGCCTGTATCTCTTCTCATACGAAGCTCTCAGAATGGCCACGTACCGATCGCTAATCTTCTCCAAAAGCTCAGGGTGCCCTTCTCAAAATCTTTGCATAGAAACTCTAACTGTTGTCCAGAACAAATCTTGCTAAAGCCCTACACTCACGCACAACAATAAAAACAGCAACATCGATCACATCACATCACATCTGTGAAATTGAATGTAAAGACCAAACTTACTTACATATGATTGGAAGGTTGAAAGGTTTGTGATTCCCACTCGTTGCGAAAGAAGGTCCGTTGAACATTTTAGCGGTTTCCAAACAACGAACCTCTTGCCGCCCGGCGCCCATGAGATTATCTTATCCGTCGAAGGATCTTCAACCAAATCATATGCTTTCTTCAGGAAAGCCTCGATACTCTCTCTTACGGTAGGATAATCCATTTCTACAAGAACCATGTACCAAATCAAAAACAAGCCACTTCACATCAGTAAGTAAGACTCGTCCCGTACCTTGGCGAGAATTGGATCGTCGCTTTCCTCTGAAGAAGAAGAAAGAATCGGATCGTCGTTTGATATAATGAAAACCCTAAACTACCTGTACGCCCGGCTTTTAATATTTGTTTTTATTAAAAAACTATTTCGTCTGGGCCCTTGTGTCACTTTTGGTTATAACATAATATGGAAAATTTCGTCTAGGGTGATGTTTGTTTCACCATCTATCATCTCCATCCAACTAATCTATCTAGATGATTCATCTAGATAGTCCATCCACATTTTTTGAGATTGTTTGTTTCTCCATCCAGATGGTCCATCTAGATGGATCATTTAGATGGATTCATGTTTGTTTCTTTGTTTTTATCGCCATCTAGATGAATTTGGTAAAAAAAATTACTAAAATATCTTTGTTTTGATTTAGAGCATCATCAACCCACAACTCTAATGTTGGGGTGCTTATTTATTTTTTTTTCCTTTTTTTGGTCTGAAAAAAAAGAAGAAAAAATAAATTAAAAATTAAGCCAATTGCGGGCCGCCACGTGTCAATGGGGCCCGCAAATAGTGCAAGCATCAAAGAAACAATGTTGCTTATTTTGGATGCAGAAACATCGCAGCTTATTGTTTTAGTGGGGGCCCATGCCTTAAGCAACCCCATAAGACACTGCGTTGTTAATGCTCTTAGTTATATGTATGATATTAATTTTAAATATATTAATTTTTATAATTTTGACGCGAAAATACATTTTTGCGGATTTGGCGGAAAAATAAGTTTTCGCGGAAAAACATGGTTTTGCGGTTTTGGCGGGAAAACGTATTTTTACGGTTTTAGTTGGAAAATACGTTTTTGCGATTATAGCGGAAAAATGCGTTGCTGCGGGAAAAAATGTGTTTTTACGGAAAACGCGTTTTTGCGATTTTGGCAGAAAACTATATTTTTACGGTTTTGGCGCGAAGACACGTTTTAGCGGTTTTCACAAAAAACACGTTTTTGCGGTTTTCGCAAAAAAACATGTTTTTACGGTTTTTAGCGGAAAAAAGTGTTTTTGCGGAAAAAAACGCGTTAAAACGCGTTTTACGGGAAAACGCGTTTTGTGGTTTTTACGAGAAAACGCGTTTTGCGGTTTTTACGAGAAAACGCGTTTTGGCGGGAAACGCGTTTTGGCGAAAAACACGTTTTGGCGGAAAAATGTGTTTTTGCGGGAAAACGCGTTTTGTGGTTTTTACGAGAAAACGCGTTGTGCGGTTTTTACGAGAAAACGCGTTTTGGCGGGAAACGCGTTTTGGCGGAAAAACGGTTTTTACGAGAAAACGCGTTTTGGCGGAAAAACGGATTTTTACGGTTTTGGTAAGAAAACGTGTGTTTGCGTTTTTGACGAGAAAACGTGTTTTTCGGTTTTTGCGGGAAAATGCGTATTGGCGGAAAAACGGGTTTTTGCGGTTTTGGTAAGTAAACGTATTTTGCGATTTAGGCGGAAAAAGCGTTTTTGCGGGAAAATGCATTTTGGCGGAAAAACGCGTTTTTGCGGAAAAACACGTTTCGTGGTTTTTACGAGAAAACGCGTTTTGCGGTTTTTACGAGAAAACGCGTTTTGGCGGAAAAACGCGTTTTGGCGAAAAACACGTTTTGGCGAAAAATGATATGTAGTGTTTTTAATAGTTTTTAACATCTTTTTCTTATTAGTGTTTTGAATTGCATATAGGTGTTTAGATTGCATATACTTGTTCATTTGTATGCATTAGGGGGCTGGATGCACGTTCTTAAAGTTTGAGGCTGAATTCAAGGATAATATGCAGCATTATAGAAGTTTTGGGTCAATCATGATGTTAATAAGAGGCCAGGGACCAAGGTTGCAATTTTGTAATTTTCGTCTGGGTTAAATTGTAAGACTAGAACTTTGGGCTTGATTCGCGAGGAAATATCTGCTCATTCTAAAGTATGGGTCCGAATTGAAAGCAATTAAAACCCGAAGGACCATATTTGCAAATAAAGAAGAAGTTGCCATTGTTGGGGATCGATGTTTTTGTTGCTCGATGCGACGGCGACGACGACTCCGGTAAGCCGCGAAGGCGAGAGGCTGGCACGGCGCAAGGAGAACAGGAGGTCACGAGCTGAGATTTCGAGACCACAGAGGAGCTCGACCACGATCTGAGAACTTGACGCCATGGAGAAGATGGAGCTCTGATGGCTGTGAAAAGCGGCGGAGATGGAGAACTTGTGGAGGAAGCGCCGGTATTGAAGCTCAGATGCGACGGAGATGATGACCGGAGTTTCAGAGGATGATTGCGGTGCTGCTAGCTAAAACACGAACCAATTACCCCCACGAGCTTAGCCGCGACGGTGAGCACGACGAGGACAGCCGCGGTGGTGAGTCTTGACGAGTAGACAGTGGCTACGGATCTCGGAGAGACGACGGGGGATACGAACTAGAGCCCTCGGATTGACGGTGGTCGAAGCACGAGCTCGGCTTTGGAGATGAGCCGGTGACGATGGTGAAGAGAAGCTTGAAGACGTTCTTGAACTACACAGAACCACGAGGGAGAAGAAGTCAGATGCTCGGATTGTCTAATGCACATAGCGACATGTTTGTAGCGGGAAAGAGACATCGCTAGGAGAAAGCCGCGTGCTATAGCGACTTCACGGAGCTGAATGAGGTCGCTATGGACTAAATCAAAACGTTGACCCGGTTTAATTCGGTTTGACCTGGTTTAATTTAATTAAACCAACACGAGTTTAGACTCTCTATATATAGTTTTAGACCCCAAAAACCCTAATGTATCTCATTTTCTCTCAAGAACTTGTTTCTAATTGTAAAAGCTTGAACCTTTTTATCATTTTAAGGAAGTATTTCATCTTATATCTTGTTTCTCATTAACATGATTAACCTTGAATCCATCATGGATTTAAGGTGTCTCATGGAGATTAGAGAGTAGACACTTTTAGAATTCATGGGTTTGGTAGATCTAGGGTGATTAAGTGTAGATCTAAGTGTTTCCTTGCTAGTTGAGTGTGTTTAATGCTATTCTAGACTTGATCACTCTAGGATTGAACCTTAGTCATATTCTGCCCACAAGGTGTATGTTTAAATGACTGAACCAACTCTCCATAGCTTTAAGACTACCTATCTAATGACCATTTGTATCTAGGGATTTTAGATAGTTATTAAACCTACTCTTAATGATTGCTTGAATTAATTGAGCCAATGACCATTTGTGTTTGATTAATGAAAGCAAATGAGCATTTTTCTAGACCTAGAACTTGCTTAGCTTAATTTGTTTTTTAGACTTAAGGAACATTTTGATTGAAACTTTAATTGCTTTAGTTCAATTGCCTTAATCCCATGGATTCTACCTTATCATTTGATTGAAAGTGTTCTTGCATTTATTTCTTGATTGGATTTGAGATCACCTTTGTTTATATTTTTAGGATCTTAGTTTGTTACAATCATCCACCTCTCTTATTTGCTTGGATTAGGAAAGTTTGTGTATTCTTAGTGTTTAGATCACTAGTTCCTTGTGGTTCGACAATCTTAAATACTACTTTGATTTTCTCTGAGGATTAAAAACCCTTATCAAGAAACGTGTTTTTGCGGGAAAACGCATTTTGCGGTTTTTACGAGAAAACGCGTTTTGGCGGAAAAACGGATTTTTACGGTTTTGGTAGGAAAACGTGTGTTTGCGTTTTTGACGGGAAAACGTGTTTTTCGGTTTTTGCGGGAAAATGCGTATTGGCGGAAAAACGGGTTTTTGCGGTTTTGGTAAGAAAACGTGTGTTTGCGTTTTTGAAGGGAAAACGTGTTTTACGATTTTTGCGGGAAAATGCGTATTGGCGGAAAAACGGATTTTTACGGTTTTGGTTGGAAAACGTGTGTTTGCGTTTTTGATGGGAAAACGTGTTTTTTGGTTTTTGCGGGAAAATGCGTATTGGCGGAAAACGGGTTTTTGCGGCTTTGGTAAGAAAACGTATTTTTGCGGTTTTGGAGGAAAACGCGTTTTTGCGGGAAAATGCGTTTTGGCGAAAAAACGAGTTTTTGCGGTTTTAGCAAGAAAACACGTTTTTGCGATTTTGGCGGAAAAACACGTTTTTACGGTTTTGGCGGAAAATGTGGTTTTGTCATTTGAGGAAATGTAGTTTTGTCATGTAAGTTACAAAATAATAGTATGTTTAAGTTTGTAATTTATGAATTATATAAAAGGGTATAATAGACATTATACAATTTTGGAAGAACCATCTCCATCCAGATGGACTTCAAAATTAAGCCTACAATTTCAAAGTCATCCGGATGATCCATCTAGATGAATTGTATTTTTAGTGTCTAAACAAACGAAACTCTCATCTCCATCCAGATGACTCATCTGGATGGTGAAACAGACATGCCCTAAGTAAACAACGTGTTTATCCGTATATTCAGAAATTTTTTTTACGAATATTTATTAATTTATGTTTTATCAATTCACTATATAATCTTATATATAATAGTACAGTTTTTATGCTCTTCAGTGTATCACGTCTGCATTTTTTGAGTTCCACATATTTAATTTTTAATAGTATAAAATTTTGTCACAATGTCTTTTGACAACGAATGAGAACATGGCCGAGTGGTCTAAACTGCCAAACTAAATGATGAATTTCGACATTTGCTCTTTGTACTATTTTTAACTGGGCCTCGCTATATTTGGCTCGAGAACAAACTTATGGTCGACTTTTGATTTATGTCTTCGTGGATTTTGCATTTGGCCTGGTACTGAGTAGGGTAACCGTATTCGTCGCGAAATTTCGTTGTCTGATGGCTCTTCCTCTTCCTTCGTCAAGCCGCTTGCGTCCTTTCAATAAGATCCAATTATTTCATCCCCTCTCCATTATTAATTTCTCCCTAATTTCAACAACTAAAGCGTTTTGTAACCAAAAAGGGAGACGATTATAAATAGTAGAGGCGTTAGCACTGAGACCTACATCTCATACTCTTATTCCTCTTTTCTCCTCTCTGTAAGTTATTCCAACAGCGTATGCCTCCGGCAATGCTCTCGCTTCCCCAGCATTGGTTCACGACGGCAATTTTGATAATTTTCGTCTTTGATGTTTGGATGGTATGGCTCCGTCTGATACGTAAGCCCAATTTCACTTGTCGAAGGTTTGTGTATTTAATCTTCCAGCTCTGTCGTTGTCAAAGCTTGAAATCGTGAAATTTAAGACCTTAATTTGTTTCACTTTTGTAATTGTTTGTAAAAAAATAATTGAAAATGGTATTTGTTCGTATTATTTGTAGTAAGTATTGTCGTATATTTATCATTGATGTGATTTGGCAGATTGCATGCAAGACAAAGGAATATTAGCATTTCCAACCCGTCTGTATACTTTTTCAAAGGTCTCTTAAGTACTGAGGCTAACAACTCTTGCATTTGTTTGTGTTTTAATTTATTTACAAATATCAACATTCATGGTATATATGTTTTGACCTAAATTTTGTTGATTTACTAATATAGAGTTTGAAACTTCGCTCCAATCAGTAGATCGACCTAAACTCTGTCACCATCAAGCTATACTCCGTCACTATCAAGCGGTTATGAGAGGAAGAATTAAAGCCCAAACTCTAAACAAGCATTTTGGTTTGCAATCTACGCCATGATTGCAATTTTATATTTGACATATCCTTAAAATATATTTGACATATTTTTATTTCTCTTCAGCCATTTAATTTAAGACGCCATTAGTTTTTAGATACTTATTAAAAATAGTTAAGCATGAGGTTATGTTATCTTTTGAGTTTTTTCAAAGTTAATATATATCTCAGACTCCTCTCGATATGTTTGGTTTGATGATCGTTTGTTTTATGATGAAAGAAATATTCAAAATGGGGTTTTTCAATTAAACTAGATTTTGATCCGCACTTAAAAAGCGGTGGATTATTTTGTAATAATAAAAAAAATAAAGAATATAATAAACATAGTTAATCTTCAAATTAGTGTTCTTGTTTTTATGTTTTTTGTAATTTACAGCAGGCACACAATTAAAAATCAACTATAAAAAATATATGAAAATGGTATAAATGTAATTTTGAGTATTATATAGTTCTAGAATTGTATCTTCTTTATTTTTAATTTATAAGTAGAAATTAAAGTCATATTTTGTGTTCTAACCAGTGATATAATACATGATCAAATTATTTTTTTAAATAGTATATTTTAGTTTTAATGAAATGTTCATTGTACGTTTAATGTATATTAGGTTGAATTAAAATATTTTATATTTTACTGAAAGAGAAAAGTTTAGTTCTGAATATTTAAATTTATACTTAAACTAGTGGTTGACCCGCCCTACGGGCGGATGTGTTTACACTAAATTTATTTTATGTTTAAATATATTTTAATTTTATAAAATATTTGAAATTTTACTTTATAATAAGATAATAAATATTTTTTTCCAAAGATGATATTGTAAATTATATTAGATTTTTCTGAAAGAAAGATTTTTTAGTGAACACAAAATTATTAAATAAACAAAATTAAGGAAAATGTAATAATTTATATTTTTTCTTTTGAGTTTTATTTCAATTTGATATAGTTGAAAAAAATTCAAAAGTTAAAATAACCTTTTTCTAAGAGTTTCCAAATTTAATATTATTATATTAATAACTTCTCCTGATAATTAATTAATCCTTCTTCAAGCTAAATTAATTGAAATATAATGTAATGTGATAAAACTGTAAAAATGTATATTTTAAAGTACTATATAAATAGTTTCAATAATATCATAGATAATAATTAATATATTTTATTTAACAATAAATTATGTTTTATAATATATGTTTCTAGTTTATATTAGATTTCCCATTTATAATGAAATTTATTCAATTTTTAATATTTTATTAATTGTGTTTTGTGAATTATTGTTGAAATATTTACAAACATGGACGCTCATATCTAAAGGTTACACTAACTCTGTTTAGTACCTTGTTCAGATCATAGTGAACTCAAATTGAATTAATATCTGTAAGTAATAAGTTATATCGGAGAAGACATGAAGACGAAATGTAATCATAACCGATTATAAGTTACTTTCCAAATTTAGTTACTATATAATTTTCCTAAAGTGAGATTAATATTGTATATCAACTTTTAAAACATGTTAATGGACGAAGGAGTAGATTTCAAGAGGTGACACTACAATTTTCAGATTAAAGAACTAAAAGCATAAACGAAACATAACTATAATGATAACTTTGACCTTGAGATCCCACTAGAAGAGATTGCAAGTTGAGGTACTCCTAGGCTTTATAGTCCCACCTGCGCAAAAACGTATGAAACCATAAAATCCTAATGATCATTAAGCAAAGTAAATGTTCATAGGCCATTGTACATTGTTTTGGGTCCCACTATTTGACATATAACTTGAAATGTTGGTGTAAAAGATGATTTTTAAACAAAAAATTTCATACGTTTAACTAAAAATATCTTAAAATATAGCTATTACTCATTTATCTATAAATTTATCAAATTTTGAGTAGTTTCATTTTATTTAACTAACTCTAAAGTTAAGAAAATAAAAAATAATATCTGTATCGTTTGTTTTATACTCTTTCTTAAAAAAAGTTTATATAAATAAAAAAGTTTTAGCAGATTATCAAAGAAAAAATTTGTAATTTTACCGGCAGAAAAAATTCTTGACATATAACTTGAAATGTTGGTGTAAAAGATGATTTTTAAACAGAAATTTTCATATGTTTAACTAAAAATATCTTAAATATAGCTATTATTCATTTATCTATAAATTTATCAAATTTTGAGTAGTTTCAATTTATTTAACTAACTCTAAAGTTAAGAAAATAAAAACAATATCTGTATGGTTTGTTTTATACTCTTTCTTAAAAAATCTTATAAAAATAAAAAAAATTTAGCAGAGTCTCAAAGAAAATTTGTAATTTTACCGGCAAAAACAATTCGTAATTTTCTGGAACTAATATGAATGTGTCACAAAAAAACGCTCATCTTTCTCTAGCTAAAGTGGATGATTCTAGAGAAAGGTGGGCCTTTAACTTATCTCTAGCCCAACATCTAACATTAAACCGGTATAATAAACCTACTATTAACCAAGACGCAAAGATTTAATTTTTCGGGTCAATTTCAATGAATAATTGTTGAGGTGTCTTTTTTTGCCCCATGTTCTCTGCTGATGTGGCAGCATGAGAAGGGAGAAAAGTCAGTTTTATTGTATTAGATAGCTAATTCAAAAATACTGAAGTGGTAAATAAAAGTTGTTAATACAAAGTCCATTTACATAAGTATATCAATTGCAGATTTATTATATGGTATATTTTGTTAATCAGATTAACCAAAAGTTGAATGAGTTAAGTTTTTATCCATTTTGTTTCCCAGTTGAGATAAATTATTTTCCGGTCGAGATAAATTATCAAATAATTTTTCCTAACCAAATCCAAGTGGTTAACTATTTCTAAATTACAATATACCATGAATAATATTATGTAAATTTATCACATTTTAAATTTATTATATTATGATCACATTCAGTTCCAAAAGATTATAATCTCCACAAAACATGATATTTTATTTTAATAAATAACTAATTAAAATTGGTAACTAAAATAAATGAGTGGCATGCCTAAGTAAATAACTTAAAAACTAAAGGTAAAATACTAATAGGAGTTCTATTTTAATAGTATAGATAACAAAATTATTTTGTCATAAAATACTTCTTTGTTTTTAAAATAAAATTTTATTTTAGAAAATATATCTTACATCTTTTTGTAATTTTATCAGATAATAATCATAAATTATAAAAAAATCAAAATTTATTGTAATTATTCACATTTTGTATATATATGATTTTTATCCTGCGCAAAGTGCGAGTCTTAACCTAGTATTTAAGATTTGATAACACATAATCTTAATACATAATCAAGTTTTAAGTAGATAGGAAATAACTTTAGTTATTAAATTGGAATACAAACGTACAAAGCTTATGATTAGTTTACCAAAAAAAGAGAGCTTATAATTAAAAGAAATACCAATTTAAAATACATTTTTGTCTTGACCAGCACATGGTAAATTTAATAAAAAATGGACACATGGGCCATACCAAATATATATTTTAATGAAACATCGTATGAATTTGGCCCACGTGAGCAGCAGTCGATTTGTATTCCTAGGGTTTCTATATAAACGATTTTTAATGGGGTCGAAAAGTAGATCTGGTTCCTAAGAAGACGGCAAGATTCTCTCCAGGTACTGATTCCAACTTTCTTTTTTTTTTCTATTTTCTTACAAAAAAAAAAAGTCGGATGCGTACAAAGATTCTAGCCCGTCATAATTTATGGAAAAACGCAGTGATTCTTAAAATATGCTTATATGGATAATGTTAATTAACAGATTCAAGGGTCGTTAATAGTGTCCTTTCTCGAGTAGATCTCGTTTGTTTCTGATTTTTTTTTCACATGATTTGTTTGGAATGTGTTTTGGTTTGCTCTTGCGATCTTCTCTTATGGCAAGATGGAACTGAGAGAGTAACTAATTAAGAAGAACATCTCCTTTCTTTTTTTTTCCCAGGGAAAATGGCAGATGCGTTGAACCAACGGAGAGCCGTAGCAATGCAAGTAATAGATGACTTCATAGAAACTTGGCATGCGCCACTCCATGCCTACATCGAAGAGGTGAGAGAAAGAGATAGTCTTTTTTGTTTTTTACTTAAATAAGATTTTATTTTGAAATTTTTTTTGTCATTTGTTTTTATTTTGCTCTGTAGGAGAATCATATGCCTAATCTACAAGTTGCGATCAACAGACTTGATCTAATGATCAACCAACTTGCGGATCCTGCCGTTACTGCCGGAGGTGTTGCGGTTGAAGTATTGAACGAAGAGGAAAAGAATGAAGTGAGAAATGTGGCGATTGCGTCAGTAATGCACATTCGTAGTCGGGTTCCGTTGATTCGAAACTACATCAACGGGGTGAGACTTTTTGCGCTAACCCATACAACTTTACATTTTTTTAGTATAATCTTGGTTTAATTCATATTTTGATTTTGCTTTGTTTGTTTCGTAGGCGTATAACATTGATAATCTAGAGAATGCCATCGACCGTCTCGAAACAATCAACCAAGATCTTGTAGCTGCTGCTGTGCCCTGAGGTTTTTAGTGTTCTCTGTTTCTCTGTTGTGGACCATCCCTTGTTCAGCCTAAACCATAAATAATGACCTGAGGTTTTAGCGTTCTTTGTTTGTCTGTTGTTGTGGACCATCGATCCCTTGTTCAGCCTAAACCATAAATAATGAATTTGTAGATCAAATTAAGAAGGTTTCCACTTTTTTTGATTTATTCTAATATTTGACACGGGTTCTCGTTTCGTTTAAATGCGACACAAGTTCTTCACGTCAAAAGGTCACTAGCTCTGAAGTCTAAACATCGTTTCATCGATTAGCTAGGGCGGGTAGTACTATTTTAGTATTTTATCCCATGATTCAACTATGAGAAAATAGAAAATTCCTTAAAAATACACAAACTGAACTCTTCATTTGTTAAACATTAGAGTCTAATTTTTGTTTTCAATTAAATACACAAATTTTTAAAATTTGTAAATTTTTCACATCGATTTAGACGATATCAACTATGTTTAACATGTCTTAGACTATGTTAACTATGTTTAACAGAAGTGAAGACGATGTTAGTGTTTAATTAAACATGTGGCTAAACTGTGAAAGAAAATTGCTTAAAAATCCTCTCGATTGATTATATTGTTAGCTTTCTTCTCCATTACGCTTCCATACTGTAAATTTTTTAAATGAAATTTTAAATTTATTAGTCATAGTAAAAGGAATATATGTACAGTCTAATTCATAACACTAAACTTATTGATCATAGTATAAATTAACCTTGATTGAATCATTATCCCTACACTCAAAATGAATAATAAGTGTAAGAAATACATAACATTAAACTAATTCCAAAATCAGAAATTTCCACGACATATAAATTAACTCCACTTCGAAGTGATATAAAGAGAAATCAAAGCGGAAAAAAGAGTAGAGTTTGGAGAATATAAGAGATTGGAACAGATTAAGGTGCTAAACAAGTATTTGAACTAACTTGAATTAAGACTCAATCGATTTGAGAGGTTCTAGCTAATGGTGAGCATTCTTTTCACATTTTAACCAAGTGTTTAGTTCAAATGACGTCGTCTTTTATTAAACATAGTCGATGTCGTCCAAATCGATGTGTAAAATTTGCAACTTTCAAAAGTTTGTGTATTTAATGGAAAACAAAAATTAGTGTGTATATTAAATATGAATCCAAAATAGTCTGTGTATTTTATTAGCAAATGAAAATTAGTTCATATATTTTAAAAGAATTTTCTTTTCACAATTTAAACACATATTTAGTTAGACTCTAACGTCGTCATCACGTCCGTTAAATATAGTTAACACCGTCTAAAACGACGTGTAAAAACTGCGAATTTCATAAGTTTGTGAATTTAATAGGTAACAAAAATTAGTTCATGTATTAAACTGGGATCAAAAATAGTTCGTGATTTTATAAACAAATGAAATTAAGTCTATGTATTTTTAAGAAATTTTCACATGAGAAAACAGTCATAACTTTTTTTCTGTTACACCAACAATGCCAAGAACAAACATATCCCCTATATATTAGTTGAGAAACATTTGAAAAGTTGTAACCTTAAATTTGTATTAATTAAAAAATAACAGCATCCTACGTGGCACCTTTTATGCCTTATGTTTCAATTTATAAGGATTCTAGAGCACTTTATATAAAACATATTTTTAATACAAGGTCCGTTGCTCTCATATAAGACATATCAAAATAAATAACATATCAAACTAATTCTTCTATATATTCTTTTCTTAAATAAAATCTACGTAATTACCTAATGTGATTAAGATATATATGACTATTAATGATTTTAAATAATAAAGATCTGTTAACAACTACACTAATCATATAATAAAAGTTAATTTTTTTTATGTATGTTGTATTTTGAAATTTTCAAAACGAGTATAAATTACTAAAACTGTTAAAAATTTCACATAAACTTTTGTGATCAAGGTTTAATTTTTTTCTATAATAAATTATAATGATTATAAAATCATATGGATAAATAATTTTATTTTAATAGGTGTTTATGTTAATATATATATATATATCTCATATCCTATTTATTTTAAACATAATTATAATTTAAAATTTAACTTAATATTTTTAGAAAAGAATATTTTTTTATAAAAAATAATTTTTTCAAAATATAATTTTCTGATATTAATAGACAAATAGATGAATTATACATATTCTAAATGCAAATATTCTACCAACTGTTTTTTAAGAAACCATTAGAGAACTTGATAATGCTCTAACAATTAAATCATGTGACACTCCGTTTATTTTTCATCACTCGAACATTGGAAGTGAAAAAATATATGAATTGGATTCATTAAATTCTGAGTTTTGATCTATAGTTCTAATTACAATTATTTCTGATCCTACATATAGATAATTATATAAAAACTCCAAAATTCTAAGTACATATAAAAACAATCATGAGAAATTACCAGAAATAACACTTTCAAGATACCACTTTTCAACTTTACACTAACCAACTTTACCATTAAAATTTTAGTACTCAAAATACTATTAGAATTTAGGGTTTTGGGTTTAGGATTTATAGTTTAGGGTTTAATGTTGGTTTTTTAGGGTTTAGGGTTTATTTTTTAGGGTTTAGAGTTTAGGGTTTAAGGTTTATAATTTATATTTTAGGGTTTAGGGTTGATTTTTAGGGTTTAGGGTTTACTTTTTAGGGTCTAGAGTTTAGAATTGATGTTTTAAGGTTTAAGGTTAATATTTGATTTAATATTTATTTTATGTATATATATAAAGAACAAAGATATATGAGTCTTTTATCCTTTAATAAAACGTGTATTTTTGAAAATGTTCATTTGTTGATGGTAAACATGAAAAGTGGTACCACCAAAGTGGTATAATTGAAATTCTCCCAACAATCATATGTAATTTTTAAATTTGACAATATTAAAGTTTTATATTTTAATTATGCACATCCACATACACAAGACGCATGTCTTATTCTAGTATCCATTTAAATAAAACATTTTATTTGTTTGGTCAGATTTATTAGCGAGTAAATGTTTTAAGAGATCCTCCCAACAAAGTCTGGCGTTTAAGATTCAGAGAATTTTACGTAATGCAATCGTAGATTTAAAATTTGTAAAACCTCCTATTCAATAATCGAAAATTTTCCCGAAAGATGAAAATATAAAAGTAGAGTTGAATTAAATTAAATATTTAAATTGATTAGTGCATCTGCAACATTTTTTTTTGGATCAAAGTGCATCTGCAACATAAGCAGAATATTTTATACTTAGAGTCACGCGCAAATATAAATCCAAATTTGCATATTAATAATAATATTATCCCATTTAACTTTTATTTTATAACAAAAGAGACACATGGGCCCAGCCGAAATAGTATTATAATAAAACAAAATAAAAGCCCGGCCCACAAGGGGGGGGGGGACATGGCAGTGACAAATGTTATGTTGTCTAGGGTTTCTAAACTAAACGACGATCCGATTGTATCTTCTTGAGAGGAAAGCGACCATCCGAATCTCGCAAGGTATGAGTCTTTACTTGCTGGATTTGTTAAATCTCTGAGTGCTACAGAGGAATCATTGAATCTTAGTCACGCGATACTTTTTTATTTTTTCTTTTTTCGTTCGAAAATTGTTGTAGAAATGGATGATCCTATCATACGAGAGACAGTTGACGCTTTCCTGAAGAAAACGTATGATTTGGTTGATGATCCTTCGACGGATAAGATAATCTCATGGGCACCGGGTGGCAAGAGGTTCGTAGTTTGGAAACCGCTAAAATGTTCAAGAGACCTTCTTCCGCAACGATTGGGAATCACAAACCTTTTAACCTTGCAATCATATGTAAGTGTTTTTTTTTTTTCATTCTTGGCCAATTCAAAGATCTGATCGATGTTGCTGTTGTGAGTGTAGGGCTTTAGCAAGATTGTGTCCGGAGAACAGTTGGAGTTTTTTTGCAAAGATTTTGAGAAGGGACGCCCTGAGCTTTTGGAGAAGATTAGCGATCGGTACATGGCCCAGTTGATAGCTTTTCATGAGAAGTGGTACAAGCCATTTCATGATCGGCTTAAAAATGCCAAGACCAAGGAAGAGTGGGATCTAGTGATGAAGGAGCAGAAGGAGTTTTTTGAGAATGAGAATAAGGAGAGAAGGGCGAGCAGGTTGAGGCCCAAGAGCTCTCCTCCACCAGCTCCTGAGAATCAACTGAACAGCTCTCCTCCACCTGCTCCTGAGAAGAGTTCTCCAAACGCAAGATCCGATTTTTTTCAAGAAACCGAGAATTCTCTCAAAGGTAACGCTTCTAACTTTGAGTTCGTGTCACTGTGGAGATCTTCCTTAGCCCCTTTCACATATATAATCGCACTGTACTGATTCTTATAATATGATCTTGTGGATAACAGATTCTTAAGCTTGTTTGCTTTGCTCTTGTGATGAAGATATCTGAGTTTCAAGATTGAGTGCTTTATTACAGAATCATTGTTTCTGACGTGCTTGATTTGTTGTTTTGGTTCATTATCTGTATCTTGTAGAAATGGATCTTTCTCCCAGAACAAACAGAATCTATGCTTTTCTTAGCAAAGCATATGAGATTGTTGATGATCCTTCCACTGACAATATAATCTCCTGGGGACCAAACGGCACTTCCTTCGTTGTCTGGAAACCGCTTAAATGTCAAAGGGACCTTCTTACACGACACTTGGGAGTCACAGGCTTTGTGAGATTCGAAGTATATGTAAGTTCGTTTATTACATTCTTGGCAAGTTCGTGTTACAGACTGGCCCATGATTTTTGTTTTTGTTCTTGTTCTTGTTGTGAGTGTAGGGCTTTAGCAAGACTGTGTCTGGACAACAGTTGGAGTTTGAACGCGCTGACTTTGTGAAGGGCCACCCTGAGCTTTTGGAGAAGATTGGTGATCGCTATGTGGCCAAGTTGAGAGCTTTTCATGCGAAGTGGTACAAGCCTTCTGAGGATAGGCTTAAAAATGCAAAGAAAGAGTGGGATCAAGCAGTGAAGGAGCAGAGAAGGGCGAGCAGGCTGAAGAGGGAGAGCTCTCCTCCACCAGCTCTGGAGAATCAAGTGCAGCAGCCTAATGGAACTTGATCAGCTTAATCCTCTCTATCTATCTTTGTGAAATCCTTTTCATGTATTGGATTTTTCTCTACTGTGGTTATGTTTCTAAATAATACTCTCTGGATTGGATTCTGGTTGTTTAGTTCCACTTAAGCCTTACTCATCTTGTTAATGTGCTTCTACTTTCATTGTTCCTCTTGTAAGATACTCTTATGGCTGCTGTTTCGCCCTGAGGATTTAGCGTTCTCATCTTTACGGTGTGGACTCACTCTCTTGTTCCTCTACTTTTTTCAAGTGTTCTTATCACTTTTGGCACTTGTTGATATTGTTAAAGAAAAGGTTGAAGCGCGACACTAAATATGAGATGGTCTTGTTGTTAAGCTTGGTTATATATTAAGATTATGAGTCATAAAATCTCAAATATATAAATATTCAAAATTTCGAACGTACTTAAATATCTGATGCTAGTATGATTAAAAATATATATATATATATATAGAGAACATCTGTATATATTTTATACGAGTACATAGCAACATTTGTTGATTATTAGCTCATATTACTTGCCTGTTGTTGATCTTGATTTGATATGTAACTCCATTTGTTTGTGATTGTTTGCGAGATTGAATACGATAAATGAAAGACTACACGAAATTATTAGTCTGGATTTCGTTGCCTAACTGTCTAGGGAGAGATCAAAACTCTCTAGGCACAATAAGTGACTCTCTTGCGGTGGGTTAGATGGCGGTGGAAACAGATATGTCAAAAGTTTATGATCGTGTGGAATAGTGTTTTGTTGAGATATTATTGAAACGTTTGGGGTTTGATTAAGTGTGGGTAAGATAGATCATGGCTTTTATTTTTACAGTCTCGTATATGGTGTTGTTAAATAGTTGTGCTCATGGTTCCATTAAAATAATTTTAAATCAGTAATAAAATTTTGGAACAGTTTTAAATTATTGATAAAGTATAAAAGATTGATAAATCTAATGTGAAAGTTTGTGTTACAAACGAAATATGCCATTCAGCCTAAAAAGATATGAAAAATCTCTATAATATTATTTGAAAAGTCTGTTTCCTACGTGTCGCGTTCACGTTAACTTTTGCGATGGTTGATTACATTGATACCCTTAATAAATTAAAAAATATTACATTTAAAAACTACTATTGATTTTCTATTTAGTTTCCTTTCTGAACTTTTCCAAATAACATATATATTAAAAAGGAAAATTTATCTTGTTTAAAAATCAAATTTAAAAAAGAAAATATATGTATATATGATATGATTTTGTTAAAAAGAAAATTTCAAAATAGTAATAATCCATTTTAAAAATATTTTTCAATAACATAAAATATACTTTTGAAGTAATAAAATACTTTCTTTATATCTATAACTTTTGGGTAAAAAATATATAATATCAAAGATAATTTTGATATTAGAAAAAGAAATATTATTTATTTGAAAATATAATTTTAAACAATACAAAATATTTATCTTCAAAGTAATGGATATATTTTTTTATATATCTATCTAATTTCTTAGATGATTACATAAAACAATTAAGTAACATAAACTGATATATATGTCTAATTGACTAAAAATAGTTTATAATTAATATTATTGAACTATTCTATTTATTTTTCATATATTAAGTTGACTATAATAGAAAAAATATCTATAAATTATATTTTAATTATATAATATTATTTTCAAATGCAATAACATTTTTTTACTGCTTATGTAATTTCGAATTAGAGACTGTAGTTTATTTTTATTTCATTATAAGCTCATATATCTTAAGTTTTAAATATAATTTCCCTAAAATATATTTACATATCTAAGACAACAAAACAACCTAAATTCAAATAGAAATATTAATCAAAAATTATATATTTATAAAAAAAAATATTATAGTTGAATTGAGAGAAATAAATACAATTCAATATACTCAGATGATATTAAATCGACTATAAAATAACTAGATATGACATATATAAAATCATATGTCTAAATTAAAGTATTATAATATTATTAATATAAATTATGTATAAATTAATTTAAAACTAAAGTAAGTAGCAAGCAATTATAAATTATGAATAAATTATAAATTAACTTAAAACTAAAGTAAGTAGCAATCAATTATCATAATATATTTATTTTATAACTATTTATACCCGTGTATCAGCACGGGAAAATCACCTAGTTCAACATTAAAGATCATGGAAACAAATAAAAAGGATATATATCTGAATTTTGATGACCAAATTTATAACAAATACATGGTTCATCTCTTTTTTTTGTAAGCCAAATACATGGTTTCTTTCAAAATTGCATTATGTTGCATCATTTTCATTATAAATTTTTTTATATATAATTAAACTTTTAGACTACTTTTAATTTTGAATACTTTTGAAGTAATAAAATACTTTCTTTATATCTATAACTTTTGGGTAAAAAATATATAGATATTTATATAATATGAAAGATAATTTTGATATTAGAAAGATAAATATTATTTATTTGAAAATATAATTTTAAACAATACAAAAATATTTATCTTCAAAGTAATGGATATATTTTTTATATATCTATCTAATTTCTTAGATGATTACATAAAACAATTAAGTAACACAAACTGATATATATGTCTAATTGACTATAAATAGTTTATAATTAACTAGGACCGGCCCGCCCTATGGACGGGATGAAAATTCAAAATTAATTTAAATAATTAGAAGAAATATTTAATATAAAAATATACAGCTAAATTTTGTATATGTTATTTTATTTTAATACTAAATAAACCATGCTATCTTGAAAATTTAGTTATGACTTCCTAATATAATATTACTTGTTCTTTTCTAAAAACTAGGTGATTTTCCCGTGCTCATGCACGGGTATGAATATTCATAAAAATAAAATTTTATAAGAATTGATTGATATTTACTTTTACTTTTGAATCAATTTCTATGTATAATTTATATTAATAAATATTATATTATTATAATTATACATATGAATTTGAATATGTTATTGTCGATTTAATTATTTTTTGTATCAATAGTTGGTTTGGTTATCAATTTGAAATATTGGATAATATCTATTTTTCGATTTCAGCTAAATTTTTTTTTTCTAAATATAATAAAATTTTTTTTAATTTTCTTATTTTCATTTCGGTTGGTTATTTTCTTAGATATGTAAATATATTCTTAGATATGTAAATATACTATGGTTTAATTATGTATAACTTAATATATATTGTGCTTAAAATGAAATATATAATAAACTAAAGTGTTTGATTCAAAATTACATAAATGAATATAATAATAATATTTTGAAGTCTCAGCATATATATAAATTCTACAAAAGAATTAAATTGTAATTGGTTAATATTTTCTTTTTTATTTTTAATATGCTTTGAATCAACCTCTAGTTTATATGTATAAAATTAAATATATTATTATTATTATTATTATAATAAATAATATTTTCTTATTTTATTTGGATGTTTAATTTTGGATATAAATTAGATTAGTCGAGTCATTCATTTTGTGAGTATATTGAGTGAAATATATTTTTAAATTAAGATTGACGCATAATTACTTTTTATTTTAGTTGAGTCAAATCAAATTAGTTTTAAACCTTTATATATCGCTTACATATACATGTATTTTCAGAATATTTATTTACTCTTTATTTTAGTTAAGTCAAATCAAATTAGTTTTATTTATCGCTTAAATATACATGTATTTTCATAATATTTATCAAATTATATGTAAATTTCTAAAAAATATTAGAATATAAAGTGTCACTGATAAATTTTTGGATGTTCATGAACATATATATTTTTATTATTTTGAAAATATATTTTATGTTATTTAAAAATATATATTAATGGGGGTATTACTATTTTGTGAAATTTTCTTTTTAATAAAGTCATATTATGTATATATTAATGGGGGTATTACTATTTTGTGTATTTTACTTTTTTAATAAAGTCATATTATATACATAAAATTTCGTTTTTAAATTTGTTTTAAAATTATAGAAATATTTCCATTTTATTATATATGTTATTTGGAAAAAGATAAAAAAAAAACTAAATAAAAAATTTAATAATAATCTTAAAATCTAACAATTCATTAAGGGTATCTAAGTAATCAACCATCGCGAGAGTTAACGTGAGCGCGACACGTAGGAAACTGACTTCTCAAATAATATTATAGAGATATGTTTTTTTGGTTAAAAGTGTTAAGATGATTTTATTTTGTTATAATTTATGTTTAAATTATTCATAAAAAATTGGATGTGGCATTACATTATTTATTGTGATTTTCTAGAGTTGGATGACTATAAATAAACCCATGAAAAAGAAACAAACTTGTACATATAGATTAGGAAAGTATAGATGATGAATATATTGGGTTGATGTATGATTATATATTTTGTTTGTGTGGTTTTTATGTAAGCTTTTGCAAGATTAGTATATTATATTTATGGTTTTAAATAATGTTATTTAGTGATTACGTATGAGATATGTGGTGTTCTGATTGTATGTTTTTTTGATAATTAGTAATCCATAATTAGTTGGTCAACTGTGTGTTGTTATAATTATTGAATGACTTTTATAATAGATAGATAATTTAGTTAAAGCTTCATGAGCTTAAGGTACCCGTGGTTTGGGTACATTGTCATTCAGTTTGACTAATTCACATTTAACACTTGTTTCTGATGTTTGAATTTTTATTGTGTATTTTGTATCTATCTTTTTTTTTTCTTTTACAAAAAATAGATACTTGTTTGGGTTTTTAGAACATTATATGTTTTTAGAATAACTGTTTATATGTTATATCTGAATTGAATTTGTGGTTGTTGTGAGCAACGACCCTTTTAATCATGTGAAATATTAAGTTAAAATTTAAAACTCCATTGTGAGTTAAATTGTGGGGCATAATTACGTTTAACAGAATGTTTTTATAAAAAATATTTTTAATTTTTATATGGCTGTTTAGAAAGTGTTTTCTAAGCTTTTTAACTCTTCTGTTCAACATCTTTCTATATAATGTCAAGTTGTGTATGATAAAAATCAATGAAGGTCAAAATATTGACCAATTAGCTGCCAAAGTCCCATTATGTAAAACCAGCTCATATTTTAGGCGTGATTTATACTCCCTCCGTTTCAAATTATATCTCATTCTAGAGTAAAATTTTCGTTTCAAAATAAGTGTCGTTTTATAATTTCAATGCAAAATTTATTGATTTTAAATGTTATTCTATTTTTTCATTGGTTGAAAAGTGGTTAGGTATATAGGTAATTGTGTTTTTATTTTGAAAATATGTAAAA